CCCAGCCACAATGTCCCAAGGGTTTCCGGGAAAGGGTCTGACTGTGGGCATAAAAGTGTGTCAGCAAGCTGGGAGATTCCATGCCTGTGGATAAAATGCCTGTACAATTCATAGAATTCTTGCAGACTGCACACAGTACTGTACCATTTGGCTCGCCCATGAGGCGTCGCCAAAAAAACACCTCTCATCCTAAGGCCACACCAATTTAATTTGTTGGTTCTCGGATTCGCCTCTTCGTTTTTTTCTGATTTGCAAAAAAAAAAAAAATTGATTCTCGTCCTGAATCAACTGAAAAATGCTCATGTTTTGCCCCCAACAGTTGAGGAAAGTCCTTTTCTTCCTAGTTGTTACAGTTTTCCCATCTATCATTGCAGTGGTTTGATTAAAAGTTCAAAATTCAATGTTTAAATTTTAACCCAGCCTTTTGTGTTGACTTCATGACTCATTCCATAGCATTTAAGCCTATAATGGGATGCCTAGACCTGTTTTTATTTTTATTTTTTTTCGCCCTGTCGCTTCATATTTTTTCTGAAAAAATCCGAGAACCAACAAATTAAATTAGTGTGGCCTAACTGTCTAAAACACAACATGCAACAGTCCTTCCAACAGTCTCATTTCTATGCTTATTTCGTATATCGTATTGCTACGGTACAATAGTTTGTATATGTTGCACATCAGTGATAGCCACTACTAGCCTTTGTTGATGTCTGGTTACCACATGTCATGCCTTATTGCATTTTCAATAAAGCAAAGTAAAGAAAGATAAAGCGATACCTTCCTGAGCCCTTCAGGTGACACCTGGCTGTACTCCTGCCAGGGCCAGACCCAAGTCTCCACATAGTCTCCAGGGTGGAAGTCCTTGTGCTTGCTGTCTATGACCACACCCACTCCCCCACCCTCACAGGCATGGTCCAGTTGCCATGGTGACAGGTAGTGTGAACCTGTGTCCTCATTCATCCTGCATCTCTGTCATGGGGAAAGAGAAAATAGACAATGTGATTGCACCTTAGGTTGTACCAAGGAGGTTATAGTGGAGCTATTTCCATTATTTCCACTCCTTGGTTGTACTGACAAGTAGTTAATGTTAAACATCACAACAGCTCAATCACCCTACCATATATGGGTCCACAGACAGGAACAGAGTCTTGGCCAGAACCTTCCCATCCTGCACCACAGGGTACCCACAATCCTCTGTGCGGAAGTTCTCGGGTCTGGGCTCACCGTTCACACCTGTCATTGCAACAACATCAAAATAGTTGCAACATTAAATTTACATTACAACATTATTTGGGTGCCTTCAGTATCCATGATAAGATACACATGTAACGTTACATGATGTATGT